AGTGGTGTAAAGTGTTACAATTGTCACAAACTTGGCCATTTCGTAAGAGAATGTAATGCAAAATCGAAGGAAAGTCAAGGTGATAAAGATAAGTTATCTAGATAAGAGATGGATGATAATAACATGCTTCTAGTCATGATCACGGAGGAGAATTATGGCTTGAAAAAGATGTTGGACAATAGCAGTAGCAGTTGGGCAGCAGTGTCTAAAGTGCATAAAATTCTGCAGAAACGCGTTCGAAGCGAAACACAATGGTAACCATTTGAGATGGAGTCTAAGACAGTGATAAGTGGTACTTGGATTCTGGTTATTCAACACATATGACTGGTAGAAAAGTTTGGTTTGTCAAAATCAATCAAGCTACGAAGAACAAAGTAAGATTTACGGATGACACAACTTTAGCGGTCGATGGTGTGGGTGTTGTTTTAATCATGAAGAAGGATGGGATTCACTCCTTGATCAAAGATGTGTTATACATTCCTGGAATTAAATGTAATCTCTTGAGCATTAGCCAATTTATTGAGAAGAATTACATAATTCACATGGAAAACAAGATTTTGCGTGTTTTAGACTGAAACAGAGTCTTAATTCTTTGAGCACCCATGGTTGCAAATATTACTTTCAAGATAGAGTTGAAAGTGATGGAGCACAAGTGTCTTGTTATAGCAGTAAGTCGTGATGACTGGTTGTGGCATTACCTTCTTGGACATCTCCATTTTCGAGACCTCGATGTGTTACAAAGGAATGGTATAGTGACCTGGCTGCCCAAGATCAATATTCCAACTGATATTTGTGAAGAGTGTGTTCAAGGGAAGCAACACAAGAATAGTTTCAGCAAGGATGTAGGTTATAGGACCAAACATCATCTTGAGGTGGTGTACTCCGATGTTTGCGGTCCAATACAAGTTGACTCGTATGGTGGAAATAGGTACTTTATCACTTTTATTGGCGAGTTTAGTAGAAATCTATGGATTTATCTAATCAAGAGGAAATACGAGGTGTTTGATGTGTTCAAACGTTTTAAATCCATGGCAGAGCGGCAAAGTGGTCAAAAATTGAAAATTCTCAAAAATGATGGTGGAGGAGAGTATACCTCGAGTGAGTTTGGGAGTTATTGTGATGTTGAGGTTATAGTGCGTGAGGTTGTACCACCTTATACGCCTCAGCAAAATGGTGTTGCCGAGAGAATAAATTGTTCGATAATGAATATGGTTTGTAACATGTTGAAGGGAAAAAGATTGCCGAAGGAATTATGGGGTTAAGCCGTATCTACAGCCGCCTATTTTTTTAATAGGTGCCTACTAAGAAGCTGTACAAAGTGACACCAGAAGAGGTATGGTTTGGTCATAAACCAAGTTTGAGTCATTTGAAGGTTTTCGGTTCGGTAGCATTTCAACATATTTCGAGTCAACTTCGAAAGAAGTTGGATGACAAAGGAGAGATAATGTTGCTAGTTGGTTATCATCCTACATGAGCCTACGAGTTATTTGATGTGAGTATCAAGAAGATCGTGATTAGTCGAGATATGGTCGTGGATGAGTTGAGGTTGTTTGACAGCAGAAAAATTCACATGACAACAACAAAAACCGGTTTCCCAACAGAAGGAAACTAGTTTCCTTCGCGATTTCTACATACTGAAGCTGCTGGAATTGAATTTTTGGAAGTAGAGACCGGTTTCCCTATTTCTGGAAACCGGTTTCCACAGGAAAATGTAGAAAATCAGCATTTTGCATAAACAGTTCAGTGGCCGATCGAAGTTGAAAATGGTGAGTCTATTAGACGTCTAACAAGGCACAGAGGTCTACCTCAAAGGTTCCAAGATTGTGAAGTATTCCATGATAATAAAATCAACAATGATGGTGATCTTATTCACTTTGCGCTTATGGTCGAATTCGAGCCCGTGAGCACGAATGAGGCATTAAGCAATTCAAAGCGGGTTTGTGCGATGAAAGAGGAATTGGAATCGATTGAGAAAAATAGTATTTGGGAGCTGATCGATTTACCGGAATAGAAAAATCCAGTCGATATGAGATGGGTCTATAAAGTAAAGGCAAATCCAAAAGGCGAAATTGTCAAGCATAAAGCTCGACTAGTAGCAAAGGGATTTTTACAAAGAGAAGGTATAGGCTATGATGAGGTGTTTGCAACTGTGGCTAGATTGGAAACTATACAGCTGGTTGTTGGTATTGCGAATAGCAATAATTTGTCAATGTATCAAATAGATGTAAAATCTACATTTTTGAATGGTCCACTTGAGGAGGAAGTCTATGTAGAGAAGACCCTTGATTTTGTGGTGAATAATCAATAGGGAAGAGACTACAAATTGAAGAATGCACTCTATGGTTTAAAAAAAGCACCTAGAGCTTGAAACAAATGCATAGATGCATTTTTAGTTGAGGTTGACTTCAAGAAGTGTGTATCTAAACATGGTATTTATGTGAAGACGTATGCAAGCAAAGAAGTGATTATACTTTTTTTATATGTGGACGACATGTTTATTACGAGCAGCAATGAAGTGAATATTTCTAAGTTCAAGGGTAAGCTTGTGGAAGAGTTTAAAATGAGCAACCTTTAAATCATGACTTACTTTCTTGGCATAGAGTTCCATAAGTCAAAATTGAGGTTGCTTATGTATCAAAGAAAGTATGCTCTTGAGATTTTGAAAAAGTGTGATATGGAGCATTATAATGGTGTCATAACACCAGCTGAAGCAAGGTTGTAGCTGTCCAAAAGTGAAGATGAGCAAGGTGATAACTCAATATAGGAGGTTGATTGGATCATTGTGTTGCTTGTGCAATACGCGGCCAGATTTGACGTTTAGTGTCAGTATTGTAAGTAGATTCATGGAGAAACCAAAAGTTTCTCATTTGACAGCAGTTAAGAGGATCCTAAGATACATCAAAGGAACTCTTGACTGTGAAATTCTCTTTCTCGCAGCTGATACGGGCATAAATTGTGATTTACTCGATTATACGAATTCCAATTGGTGTGGAGATAAGGATGATCGAAAGTCTATGGCTGGTTATGTCTTTATGTTTGGCGGAGCTCCAATCTCTTGATGCTCTAAATAGGAACTTGTGGTTGCACTCTCTTCTTGTGAGGTCGAGTATATCGTTGCGCCGATGTGTGTGTGTCAGATTGTGTGGCTTATGAATCTGCTAATGGAGCTAGACAGAAATGAAGAAAAAGTTGTTACGCTCTTGGTTGACAATATTTAAGCTATTAACCTTGCAAGGAATCCCATAGCACTTGGGAGGAGCAAGCATATAGAGATGCATTTTCATTACTTGGGGGAACTTGTGTGTGCAAACCAGCTGAAATTAGGATACTATCGAAGCGAAGAATAACTTGCGGATTTGTTGACGAAAGGCGTGACAAATGATGTGTTCAAGAAGCTTGTGAGGAGTTTGAGCATGAGGAATGTTGCGCATTTGACTTAAGGTGATGTATTGGATGTTTAGAATAAGTCAAATGCTGCTTGGAAGCCTCTGGAAGCTGTTTTGGCAAAACAACTTATTTGAAAAGCTATTCTGGCCTTTTGCTGAAACTGGAAATTTCGAAGAGGAAACTGGTTTCCTCATTTCTAGAAACCAGTTTATGCCGCGTCTTTTGCTTTTCCAGTTTGTTGTTTGTAACAGCTTTTTGAGTTTGCTTTGTTTGTTATATTTTTAGCACACTATAAATACTCTCTCTTGTAATGATGTTTTAGTATGAGATTAATGTCATTTTATTAGTTTCTCCTCAATTACTCTCTCTCTCTCTCTAATAATCTCTATTTTTCTCTTTAAACTTCATCTTCTCCAATTAACCACTTTTCACCATTAATTCACTAACTTCATTTTTGCGTATCTTCTAACAATATGGTTGATTATCCTGTCCAGTCTGTTATTCTTACCATTAAACAATCAAGCCTTCGTCTGTTATTCATTTGGCATATTGCAGTTTTTGTTCAAATCCAAGTTAACAAGATGTTGCTTTTATCTGAAATATGTTTCAATACGCTGTGTTCATTTAGTTTGTCCCCCAATTTGTTATCCACTATATGTAGGGGTGTGCATTTTAACCAGTTCATCCAATCCATAATCATAAAATTGGTTTCCAAATATAAAAAATCCAAACCATTTGGTCATTAACTAACCTATTCCATTTAAAGAAAAATCAATAACATTGGATACCCATTTTATTGAAATTCAGTTCTTGTTCCTGATCCAATTTACTAATTTACTCAAATGTTAAAAAGTATCTCTCTAAATTTCCAACATAGCCAAAACCAAACCATTACAAATTGAATAACTGGAATGACAGTTAATTTTTTCTTGGATCCCAACATTAAATATATTACAATAAATATTATTTTTTTAGTTTTAAAAATACACTATAATATATTTTACCTGCAAATGTGTTTGAATGACAACACAGTAATGGAAGTTGAGTTTCATCAATCTAAGACATGAATCTCCAGTTTGAAATTCAATTTTCATAATACTATAATCAAATTTCAATTATATATACAAGACCAAATACCAAACTTACTTAAAAAAAAAAACTCTTCACATATCGAATATTATTAGAAAATAAATAACACAGTAAAATAAAATATGTTGACTGAACCTTCCAATGTTTTCCAGCACAGTATGCATAAAAGTTTCAAACTGGTTAAACAAAAAAATTGATTAAAACAAAAAATTGATGTAATTAGTTTTAAGAAAAACTAATCTTAACTGAATCAAATAAAAAACAGGTTGTTAATAGGAACCGGTTTTAAATCGAATCAATCCAAATATAAATCAATTTTAAAAAAATAATTTGGTTTTACAAAAACAGTTTTGAAGAATTAAACCAAACCATATATTTAGTTCAATTCGGGTTGGTTTGAGAACCATGCACATCCCTAACTATATGAGAGTGGTCTCCTCTATCTTTGTACAATTGTTGGGACAATCATGCTTGTGATAACATTTGAACATAAAAAAGAAGTATCCCAAAAGCAAACACTGCCCTTAAGGAAGACTCACGTGACAAGCTTTCTTTTGTTTGTACTGTCTAGCATAAACAATGTATACCAACATATTCAAGAAACTAAGTCCAGCTAGAAGCCAGAAAAAGTAATCAAGATGACTCTCATTCAAATTATCTGTGATCCATCCACAACTTCCATCTTCTGTTGTGATGTAATCAACAATAGTGACAATCAAAGAGCTCAGATAATTCCCTAATGAATTCGTTAAAAGTGCCAATGCGCTGCAAAAACTGCGCATTGTATCCGGCGCTTGCTCATAAAAAAACTCATGCTGTCCAATAAACGTGAATACCTCAGCAGCACCAAGCAAGAAATATTGAGGTATCTGCCATAAGATACTAATTGGTACAGGGACATTTTCGTCAACCAATCCAATTTCTTTTGCCATTTGCAACCTCTTGCTCTCTACTAATGCAGCAGATGACATGCAAATAACGGAGAGAAAAAGACCAATTCCCATCCTTTGCAATTCTGAGAAGCCTCTTACCTTGTTGGTGAAATTCCTTGCTATTGGAACAATGCCTCTATCATAAATTGGAACCCAAATAATGACAGCAATGATGTCAAAAGTTGAAAGAGAGGCTGCAGGAATTTTCAAAGAAGCAATACTTGTGTCCATCACTTTCCCTTGTTCAACAAACAGCGTTGACATTTGTGCATAAACAGCACAAAAGATTATTCCTGATGCCCATATTGGAAACATGCGGATCAATATCTTTAACTCTTCCACTTGTGTAACTGTACAAAGCCTCCATGGACTAGTCACTTCAGCTCTCTCTTTTTCTGCATCTGATATCACTGCTGCTTTATCCAGGAACCTGCACAAAGTAGAGTAACAAGTCATTTTGGTCCATAAATGTGTGAAGCAGCGTCACTATAGTCTTTGAGAAGATGTTTGAAGCTATGAGACAACCTCAATCCATCACTATGCTCTAGTCTAGAACTTCCTTCAATGGAGGAATTCTTCACTGCTAATTCAAAGAGGAGACAACTGTCTTGGGGAACCTCCAATTTCCACTTGAACAAAGCAGAAGAAATCACCTGGAAAATTCTTGTAAGAGGACTTCCCAGTGGCCTTTGAATTCTATACATTGGTGTACCTAGAAAGAAAATTACTATCGCAATACCAATAAACAGTGCAGAAATTCCATATCCAAGTCCCCACCCAACATTTTCTTCGGTCCATACCAATACAGTGACTGATAAAATTGCACCAACGTTACTAGTGAAATAATTCCAATTGAAGAACGATCCTTTACTTGATCTTTCCCTATGATCCGTATCATCAAACTGATCTGCTCCAAAAGGCCAAATACATGGCTTTATTCCACCAGTTCCCAATGCAATTAAAAAGAGTCCAAAGAAGAATACAGCACTTTGAGCTAGAGTTGCTGATGGACAGACAGAACTCACACATTCCATTGGCTTCAATGCAGGAATGGTTGCTGAAATGATCAATATGCAGGTTCCCTGAAAAAAATTAAGTATCACCTAAAAAAACTACTATGGAAGCTTCGAAATACGAGAAAATCTTAATTTTAAATTTTACAATGAGATAGATTCCGTAGAACACTGCAATTGTCCAGTATCTTCCCAAGTAGGCATCGGCGAAGAAGGATCCAACGAGAGGTGTAAGATAGCAAGTTCCCTGAAAAGTGGTAACATTTTTTGCTGCAGAAACAAGTCCTTGATGTAGTTCCGTGGTGAGATAAGTGATAAGATTTGTAGCAATCCCATAATACGCCAAACGTTCACAAAAGAAAGTACCTATATTAGACTATAGATACGTTACATGTCAAACAGAAAAATAACAAAACTAAAAAAATTGTTGGTTACTTCTCATGAGAAAAACACATAGAACAGATAATCACCAAGAACAAAGGGGCATGATTTCCATGTCCCAGTTTCCCTCTTGATAGTAAGCTCTCCCTTTATGTTTACTGACCCATCTCTTGTGTGAATACTGTCTTCAGACTGCAAGAAATACAAATAAGTAACAGCATAAATGATAATACCACATCTTAATTACTACTTGTGCAGATGATAGGCTACGTAGAAACCTGCAATAGACTATCTTGCAGAAGTAATCTGGTAGGTTCCTCTAAATGTTCCATTCTTATTCTCTACTCTGTCAAAATTTATGGGGCCAATTTGGATGTCAGTTGAGAGCCACTCTTCTGAATTCTCTTTTATAATCATAATGCTTATAAAGAATGGTAGGTAAAAAGTTGATACCCACCATTCTGAAGTTTCCCTTTTTGTAAGTTTGAAAATGAGTTGAAATTGCTTTTCACTTCATATTATTCTATAGTTCAATAGTTCAATACTTCACTATAGTTGCTAACATTCGCTTAAGTAATCATAGATATTCTATAGTAAAAACAATACAGTAAAGACCGAAAACTATGAGTCATACACAACTAGCTATATTGTATAAAATAGAAACAATAAATACAAATATTCACTATTACCTAAATCATTTGTGCATGCTTTTTACTTCATATTTTTATTATTCGTAAAAATACCTAATTATGTTAAATTGTAATTCGATTGTGTCGAAACAGTGTGTGTCGAAGGGAGGTTGCTTAGTCGAAGAGTTTGTGGATCGAAGCAAGCTACACACATATTTGATTGGTTTTAGATTTAGATAAATTTGATTTAGATCTAAAATAGATAGATTTGATTTAGTACCAAAATAGGTATTTTGAGCTTTTTATAGTTTTGAATTTTGACTTTGGGAGCAAGCTAACATAAATCTATAAATAGAGGGAGTAACCCCTAATTTTGTAATTAAGTCAATCAAATTGTATTCACAAAATTTTGCAGTTGTAAAGTAAATAATAAAGTTTTCCACAGTTTGTAGGTAGAGAGAAACTCTGCAGAAAATAATTGTCTTGTTTCTTTTCTTTTCTCATAATTCATTGTCATTGTGTGGTGATATCAATCTTGTTCATCAAGATTGGTAAAAATTCATCATAGATATTTGGTGGATTTCCAACATCTGGTATCAAGAGCTCGGTTAATCGATTCAAGGGAAATATCGATCAAAAACAATTGAGGAAGAAGAAGAAGAATTCACGATGGCGAGTTATGGGAATGCAATTTATACAGCAACTCTACCAATTCTGAAAGTAGACAACTATGAGAATTGATGCAAACAGATAAAAGTTTTATTCAGGTGTCAAGGTCTTTGGAATCTTGTAAAGGATGGATTGGAAGCGCTTGGAGAAAACGCTTCAGAAGAAGAAAAGAAGAAACACACAGAATCTGAGAAGCTAAGTTATAAAGCACTCTTTATAATTCATCAATGTCTGAGTCTAGAAAATTTTGAAAAAGTGAGTGATTCAGAATCTGCAAAAGAAGCTTGGGAGGTTCTTGAGAAGTCTTTTGGTGGTGCAGAAAAAGTGAAAGAAGTAAGGTTACAAACTCATAAGAGAACATATGAATTGCTTCAGATGGAAGATAGTGAGAGCATATCTGATTTCTTGACTAGGGTTATAAAACTAGTGAATCAAATCAAGGTATATGGAGAAACATTAATGATCAGTCACCATTTCTAGTAAGTTTTGCACCTTTTTCCGACAAGAACTCATAGTCTTGGTAACACTAAGTGGCATTTGCATGTGTTTTAAAGTAAGTTTTCTTATTTTCGTTTGTGTGAAGTTGTCGCATATTTTTACTTTATGAGTGTTACAAAAAGTGTCTTTTTATGCGCTGGTTGGTAGTGTTGTTGTCCAGGTGATGCAATGGAAAGATAGGAACTTGTGGCGTGCACGAGTGGATAAAAGAAGCTGGGAAAAGCTGAGTTCAGAGGTCAACACGGGCACCCGTGTGGAGCAACACGGCTCGTGTTGAAATGTGGCTGGAAAAGCAAGTTTGAACCTGAAACAGAGAGTTCACACGGGCACCCGTGTTCACAGACACGGCCCGTGTGAGAAAGTGCCTAGAAATGTGTTATTTTTGCCAGAACAGAAGATCAACACGGGCACCCGTGTGCAGCAACACGGCCCGTGTTGATGAGCGCGTGCTGAATATTTGTTTCCAGGTTTTCTCACTCAAAGGGAATCATTAAGGGTATTTTTGGCATAGGATTTCAACCTGAATGGAAGGAGGATATAAAAATAACTTTAGAACAAGAGAGAAGGCATTTTTGGAGATCATAAGATAGAATTGCAGAGAAGAAAAGAGGACGGAAACGAGGTTTTGGAAGACGAAGAGATTCAACGGTGGACACCATTGAAGATCCGAGTTCTCCCAATTATGTGTAATGTCTAAACTTTTACACTTGTGTTTCTTGAATATTATGAGAGGCTAAACCCCCAATGCTAGGGGGTGTCCCTGATTCGATCTGTAATAACTCTGGATTAGGTATTTCATTGATTTAATGTTTGTAGTATTCAATTCGATTGTATAATGTTTTTAATGCTTTCTTTATCTGATCAATAAGGATTGTTATGTGGTTAACAGTTCGTAGGACTACGATTGTTAAGGTTTGTATACAATTGAACCTTATAATTATCACCTAGGATTAGGGATATAGTAAGGTTATTTAGAAATTCTTGATAATTGAATGATTTGGTTTTCTTCTATTTCTCTAAGGACTTAGGTAATCGGAATTTAAACCAAAAGGTTTTCACTAAGGACTTAGGAAAAGCATCCTTGAGAATAAATAATTGAATTCTATAAACTTGTTAAAGAGATCTTGATCCAGAGGAATTAGAGAATGAATCACACACCCCACCTTAGCATTATCTTCATATTATCAAAAGCTCAGTTTTAATTTCAGTTAATTCATAGTATTTTAATCTATTTCGTTAATCATTTGAAACAACACCCTTATGCTCTTTTGTTTAATTGACTTCGTGTAATAACTTGTATTTTCCTACGCAATCCTCGTGATCGATACTTGGGGTAAAACCCTTTATAACTACATCAGTGAAAATAGTACACTTGCTATTTTTCCGATCAAGTTTTTGGCGCCGTTGTCGGGGATTGCCAAAATATAAGTCATTATTTAGTCAACTAGAATTTTATTGCTCTGCAATTAAAATTATATTTTCCGTATTTTTATTTATTTATTTTTACTCCCAACTAATCATCGTCTAATCTTGTATGCGAGGTAAGGCCTCAGCTGAACTTCTTTTTGACGCAGAACCAGAAAGATTATTGAGAGCACGACTTCGAGAAGTTAAGCGGAAAAGACTGGCTTCAAAAGAAGAATCACCGGTAGTTTCAGAATCAGAAGACGAAGAAATACTATCTATTTCATCCGAACAGTCAGAATCCGAGCCCGAAACTATGGCAGCTGATCCACCCCCTCCAGAGAAACTTTTGGGGGATTATGGAAGGGCGAATGCACCGCTTGGAAGAATGACCATAGTGAATCAACCGGTTAACGTGGCACACTTCCAACTACATCCCTCCACTATCCGACAGTTAGAAAGCAAGCCCTTTGCAGGGAGAATCAATGAAGATGCGAATAAGCATCTACAGAGATTCCTGACCATAACAACATCATTGAAGATAGAAGGCCACTCCGAAGAAGCAAAGAGACTTGTGATGTTCCCTTTCACGTTATCCGAAGATGCGGAAGAGTGGTTTTACTCACTTCCAGTTGGAAGTATCACCACATGGGAACAAATGGAAACTGCTTTTCTTAATGAGTACTTCCCAGCTTCGGTCTTCATTCGTAAAAGATACGATATCATTAATTTCAAGCAGAAAGAAGGGGAACTGCTAGGAGATGCATATAAAAGATTCAAGAGGTGTTTGGTTGCTTGTCCTACTCATAACATGGATTCAACCGAACAAATGCAGACGTTTGTTAATGGTCTCCGAGTTAAAACAAAACAATTGATCGACACTGCAGCCGGTGGCTCAACTAATTTCTCAACAGCCACTGGTATCAAGAGAATCATAGAAGTTATTGCCGCGAACGAGCACATCGAGTTATATGATCGGGTAATAAGCCAACCGGAAGGAAAAATTGATTTGAAGCTGGCAGACCAAGTGGTTAAAATGGAGGAACAGATTGCGATTGAAGTGGAAAGAAGGTTAAAGAAGATGAATATTGGTGAAAAGAAAGTAGCACAGGTTGAGCCAATCACTTCAGTGTTGTGTGAAATATGTGGTGGGCCGCATTTTGCTATGCATTGTGTGGCAACGCAAGAACAGGTTGAACAAATTCATATGTTGAGGCAAAACAATCCATACGCCAATACATACAATCCAGGTTGGCAAAATCATCCAAATTTCGCATGGAAGGATCAACAAGGAAACTTCCAAAAGCAAGGACCAAACTAGTTTCAAGCTCCAGCGCAACCACAACAATATAGACCTCCACAACCACAACCTCCATACCAGCAACAATTTCAACACCACCCACAACAGTTCCAATCTCAAAGTCAACAACAGACACCGAAGAAGGCAGACTGGGAGATAGCGATTGAAAAAATGGCCGCTCAAAATTCTCAATTCCAGGAAGAAACCAGGAGCAACCTGAGGAATACAGGGGCCTCTATAAAAAATCTGGAAATCCAAATGAGTCAGATTACACAACAAATGACTAACTCTCAACAACAGGGTGCTCTACCTAGTGCTACGGTTACGAATCCCAGAGACAATAATCATGTGAACGCTGTGACTACAAGAAGTAGTAAATCCAATGACAAACCTGAGAAGAATTCTGATGAAGAAGATATGTTGATTGAGGTGGATGTAGAGATTAAAGAAAATGAGGTTGTAAGTCAAGAGGCCACGGGGGATGAAAGGGTGGTAAAAGAAAAAATAGTTACACCTAAACCGGCGGTTAAGCTTCCTTTCCCCACAAGAAATAAGAAGAAAGAACAACATGAGAAGAATTTCGAGAAGTTCCTGGAAATGTTCAAGAAACTTGAGCTGAACATTCCCTTCTTAGAGGCACTTGAGCAAATGCCAACCTATGCAAAATTCATGAAGGATATTATTTCAAAGAAGCGGATCATCGAGAGTGATCCGATTATTCTAACTGAAACGTGTAGTGCTATTTTGCAGGGCATGAAGATTCCGGTTAAAAAGACAGATCGAGGTTCAGTAACTATTCCATGCACCATCGGTGATAGGTCTTTCAAGAAAG